CACACACACACACACACACCCTTTTCCCTAGTGCATGTCTACGTGGCTGCCACAGCATCAGTCTCTATCCACACCTCGATTTTGCTCATGCCTTTGCACACTCACCCACGTCTGAACTAAGGGTACCCTGGGGTGTGTTTCTGTTTTCGTTTTGAAAAACTTGCTGTGTCAGTCGTCTAAGAATCAAATGCATTGTGTCATGATAAAAATCAGCAAAAATCAGAGGACATGGGTCTTAAATGTCTTTCTAAAGTTCCCACAGGGTTCTTTACGTCTGTGAATCCGAAATCGGGAACAGACACACACACACACACACACACACACACACACACACACACACATGTTTCCCGGGGAACGTGTAAAACCCAAAGACCCAGCACTCGATACCCACACTCGGCGTCTCTGGTCTCCTCACACTTCCTCCGGGGCCCTCCCGGACACCCTCAGACTCCCCCTCACAGCCAGCAGCCCTCGGAGGTGTGGGGGATGGACACAAGTGGAGGCGGGGTGTTTTTTCAATTGCACAAGCGGTTTACGGAGTCTTCTGGTCAGGGGCCGTCCAGTCAGGTGCGACTCATGGCCACCTGTGTACAACAAAACAAAACACTGCCTGGTCCTGTGCCACCCTCACAATGGCCCCCCTTTCTCGCCCTCACTCGTCCCAAACGCCGAGTCTGTGAGCTCCTGGGTTTGAGCCCTTGTCCCTTCCCGTGGCCACCGCAGTACCCACGCCCGCTCTCCACCGAAACAGCCCAGTGCCTGGCTAACATGGGACTGGGGGGAGGTGGGCCGTCCCCATGGGCTCTGCTGTGAGCTGGACAGGTGATGCCTTCATGGGGCATCCAGATTGAGAGTCCAGTAGATGAGTCCGTGGGAAGTACTTTCCTGTAATGCCCTCCCCACTCACCTGGCCCACAGGCCCACCTCCAATCAATGTGCTCGCCCCCAAACACTGTGAAACAATTGCCAAAATGTATCCAAAGGCAACCTCTTCAGCTCTTCATGGGAAGCAAAGGTGACCTTCACATGCCCGTGGGAACAAAATTGACAGCCTACATCCCTCTGAGCTCGGGCTCCCAGGAGGCTGCTGGGGAGACCTTGCTGATCAAGAGCCCTGCTGGGATGTCCCCAGGTCGTGTGTGTCCCAGGATGGGCGCCACACTTGTGGGAACAGACAGAGCCCCAACTTAGCATCACCCACCCACACTCCTCCAGCCCGCTAGCTAAAAACTCTGAAAAGACAGTTGTTTTGTGTGCGCGCCACCTACACATCTTTGTAACAAGCATAAGGGCAATAACTCAAAGAGGTCTTAACTTTGCATTTGTAAAGTATACATATTGTATATGTGTGTAATTCCCCCCACGTAGCCATCTGCAGTCTTTGTCTCTCAGAAAGGAAGCCCTGCCCTGCTCTGTGCTTGGACAAGAGCACTGTCATTGTTTACCAAAGGCAGGTTGTAAATGCGTGCGTCAGCCTGCCTGCAGGTACATATGCACATGTGGGTGTGATGTTGCAAACGCCACCTTTGTGTGACTCACTCGTTTAGAGAAGCCCCCCCCAGTGTCGATATGTAACTATACATATAACGTATATATATGTATGATACATCAAATATATTTAGAACTGTTCATAATTTTAATGGCTATCCTTTGGTGTGAATAATTGAATACAGACTTTTTAAAATACCATCTTCCGTGTGCACTGTCTTAATATTCCTCATTGTCGCTCCCAGGGTTCTAACATCCATTGCAGGGGCTACACAGAACCCTCAGACAAGATTCAGGATGGAAGGGTTTATTACAGAGGTTAACAAGTTGGCATGCCGGTGAGAAATGCTCAGGGTTGAGTTGTTTACCAGGACATATTACAGATTTCTTTCAGGTCTGCTAATAAATGCCCAAAGGGCCAGACCACTCCACTGGACGCCTCAACCTGCAGGCTTTCGGCTGAAGCTCCCTGGGGCAGCAAACCCAAGTCCTTGGATTAAGTGTTCAGAGGCACCCCACCCGAGTGAGGCTGGGTTGACTAGAAAAACATGTCTGGAGACACTAATGTGTAAGAACGAGCTTTATATCAAGAAGTAATTGAATATACTAAAAACTTCCCATCCCAGTCCAACTCAGGTCCATAAGTCCGATACTAGTCCCTAAGTCCCTCTTCAGACTCCTGCAGTCACATGCAATGATGCACAATGCAGGGAGATCACAGGCTGGTAGGTGCAAAGCCGTGTGGATCCACTGGAGGTGGCTGCATCAAATGGCTCTGTCAGGTCCCAGTGTGGCTAGTCAGCAGAAAGGCAAAGGCAGAGAGAGAGAGGTTTGGACCTCTCCTTATGAGAGACCCTCCTTATGAGAAGGTCACACCTACAAGGAGGCAACACCAAGCTGTGACCTGGTTGACAGGCTAGACTCCACCCCTGTACTTCCATATATGTTGAAGTTGACAGGTAATGACCACACCACCCCAGTCAGCCTTGGCCTCAAGGAAGGCACTCAGCTCCACTCTGGTAGCTCAGGAGCCCTAATTCCTGAAGCAGCGTTTGCTCTCATCTGTGGGGTAAGACCTGGGGTGTTTGGTGCAGTAAGGAGGTGGTCAGGTGGTGGTCGTGAAAGCTGTCTTCAAAACTCTCCAAACACTGGGACTACACACACAGAATGAGATGTGTACAAATTGTTGACTGGAAAATGAATTTACTCTGTAAACGTTGACCCCAAACCACAATTTAAACAACAACAAAACCACAGGAAAACAAACAAACAAACAAAAAACCCCAGCAGAAACCCTGGATCCAGGTCTCTGATCCCCAGAGCTCTGAGGGGGTCAACATCACAGCTCTCATTTGAAAACCAGCAAGCACACTGAAAATAACAAGCCAAGCTCAGGTTTGTCTACGACTTAGGGTTCACCCTCAGCACCACCTGGTCAGTGACAGTGAAGCTGCGGGGTTCTAGTTCCCACGTGCAGGGTGTATTCCAAACACGACAGGCCAAACTTGTGGGCGGCTGGGGACAAGTTCTCTAAGTCATACACACATCTCAGTCTTATGAGGGGCCCTTC